CGTGTAGGTCTTGGTCTGGCTGACAGTCTCTTTTTGTTTACTGAGAAATGTAGAAATTAATAATTTCACATACACTCAGCTTCCTTTGAAGGAGTCACTTCTCTTTTTTTCCCCCTAAGACATTTTCTTTTGTTCTTACATCACATTAGGTATTTTTAGGAAACAGAAAATGCTCCTACAGGGCACACCTTTGACTTTTCTTGTCACCATTTTTATTCCTAGTGTTCATGTGAGACTGAAACCCAGAGATCAGTAGGGTTAACGTATGGGCTTGAAGACCCCTTGTGAGAAACAGCTCTGCATGCAGTGAGCTGAGGCACCTCTCTCTTCCTCCCAACCAGAAAGTACCAGGAGAAAACTGATTTATTTTAGCTTTTGTTGACTCTACCTTATCTCCTTTCCTTTGCAGGCTGCTCTTCCTTCCCTTGTGCTTTTGTACTTCTGCACATTAGAATATTAGGTCAAACGCCCTCACAAAAAATTATGATGTACAATATTTCTGATTTTCATCTTTTGCTAGATTTTCTTCTCATCTGCTAGAGATATCAGTGGTAAAGATGTTCGCACTTTGATCACGCTAGATTTTACTAAAAACATTATGTCAAATGGGGCTTCCCTGGTTCTTTACAAATGTTTACTGTATGCTCAAAAGTACCAGGAAAACAAAGATGAGCTATTACTTTTGGAATTATTAACAATTTTTAGTATTTTCCCACTAACTGCATAGTATGAGTAATGTGTTACGGAGCCTAAGGGGTCTGTGTTCCAGATGATGAGGAAAGTGTCACATGACGGGTTAATACTGATCTGATCTTTCACTGGTACATAAATTGCATGATTGTCTAGTCAACCATAATAGTGATGGTTTTGATACTTGCAGTGGAAGCAGTGGGAGGTATTATTTGCTGTTTGCTGTAGAAACCACTTGAAATTTGATTTGTAGGCTAATCTAATTATAGTGTGAACGATAAGCAGACTAGATGACAGGACTGTCTTCTATAAACTTAAACCTGAATGTACCTTGTGTTGTCTAATTTTAGCTAGCTGCAGTGACAGTGTACTCTATTTTGCACAGCAGGTTATGGAGATTTTGTCTATGTAGTATATATAAGTGTAATCCAGTGGAAATCAATAGTTCACAAAAATGTAAATATTGTTTTGCAAGATCTAATATAGAACTGAATTTCTCTCTTTCTACTAAGAAATTGTTCTGTTTAATAGAAAGATCTGCTATCTCTGGTATAAGATCCTGATTGCAAACTCCTGTAGGGCAGGTTGTAAAGCTGCAGTATGTAATAAGGACCTTTCACTCAATTTGCTCCCCACTAAGGGCCTAATGACACCAGCTTCAAAGTAATGTTGTCATAGCCTGTCTTCATGATGCAGGAATTGTTACCAAGTTTTCCCTGACCTCATTGTGCAGACTTCATCTTGGGAATCTATCAGATACATTTTTGGCATTGATAAATCAAGCGCACAACTCAATTCCAGAACAGACACCCCTGCTGGATGCTTTTCTCTGCGCTACGGTCTTTCACACCAAATTCATATGGAGTGGTGTCATCAGGCTCTAAGTAAAGAGGGAATCAGGAAGAGCTCATAGATTAAATTTTAGATTAAATTTTACAAGAGTAAAACTTTTATCAAAACATTATGCACTGATGAGTATAGCTATCTGCATAGTAATTTTCTGAGTTTTTATATCCTGTTTGCTTATGACACAAAAAAAACCAAAACCAAACCCCACAGGTTCCAACATGTAAAGGGCATAGAACTTGTTAATGTAAATAATATATCTACATATCAAGGCAAAAAATCAATCACATCTATCGATAAGCAATTTTTTTCTATTTGAAACAGAATATGTTTTAAAAGGGCTGTTGGTTCATCCTGGAGTGTAAGGTGAAGGGATTATGTAGGGCTCGGACAGCAGTTGGGGTGTCCACGGGTTGGTGCCAGCCACCACCATTTCAGAGCTGAAGCAGAGCCACTGCAGAGGGAGGGACTGTGGGACAGGGGCAGATCACAGGGCCACGGCGCACAGTCAGGCACACAGCAGCTCCTAGTGTAACACCACGGTCAAGGCAAATAGTACTTTCCTCGGATGAGTAAACAGGAGAATATCAGGTTGAAGTGGAGGGGATGGATGACACCTGTAATTAGAACTCTTTGGGGACGGCAGTGTTTAATTCCAACAAGGAATGTTCCAACAAGGTGTTGATGAATCACAGTTTTAGAGAAGATGCATACTTAAGGGGCTTGAAAAAATGCATTATAGTGCAAGACTCGAGAATAACCTGTTTTATTTAACCAAAAGAAAAGGTTTAATGGTTATTCGAACGGAGCCTAGAATTATCTCTATATGGAACACAAATCATAATATAAAGCTTAGAAATTGTCATAAAAAAATTAACACCTGCAAAACAGAGAATTAGAATAGGCAAATTCAGACCAGACAGAAAACTTCCTTTGATAACGGTAACTGTAGAATTATGCTTTAGAATGACGCACCAGCATTTGTTCTGGATTTTCCATCACCGGAAATGTTTAAGTCCCACCTGTGTTTTGTGTTATGTACAAGGTTACATGGACTAAATGAGCAGAGTGGTCTCCCCTGATTGCTAGTCTGTTAAGAAAAAGAATTAGATCCTGTTCCAAAGTGGCTTCCAGCTTTTACAAATCTACATACCCTTCACAAATCAAAGTCCACCATGGAAGTAAAATTAATGCAGGATTTTAAAATTTAAGTTCATTGAACATTTTTAAAATGTGAATTTAGTGATTGTATGTTTTCACAGGTATAGATTTATATATAAATAATTTTCACAGGAGAGAGCACAAACCGAGCTTCTGAGAAGAGAAGATACCTCCCCATCCCATCAGGCTTGCAGCCTTGAAACTAATTGTACATGACTGCAGTAGTAGCTGTTTTTTCTTACTGCACTGAAATGTTTTCATTTCAAACCGAATATTGCATTAGAAGGCCCCACAATCCTGCCGAGCAGAGTAAGAGCTGTCTCACTCCTCTTGGACTCCAGCTAAATAGACTGCATGAGGGGTTGTATTTAATCCATTTCAAACATCTAAATGAAATATGCTTATTTGCTTCTTAGAGGGGCTAGGACATATTTCACTTAAAGATGAGTCTAATGAAAATAGCAAGTGATTTGTCATCGGCTTCAGTGAAACCCAGGATTATACTTACAGGACACACAGGAAGATAGGCTTTCTGAAAAGCACATCCTGCAATCCCAATCACTTCATCACGTCAACATAATATACCTCCAGATTATACACCTGCATGTTCTGACCTAATTACTTCCTAAAGCAAATTGGGCTTTTTGCTCCTACATGTACTGTTGGAATTCTTTCCCAGAATTTGAAATATTTCATTTTCGAAGCCTTGAAGACATTACTGTCCTTTGTAACAACTGCTGCCATAGCAAAAAAAAAAAAAAAACCAACCCACAACGTTTTGTATTTGCTTTTATAGATGGCTAGACATTGTTTACTCAAGCTCATCCAATACAATGAACTATGCATCAAACATTTATTTTACTAAGGTGGAGTTTTTATCAGAACTAAACCAGAAATTCTGGATAGCCAAATGATTAATCCTTCCTCACCATTTTCATCAGGCTTCAAATCGCCACCAAAGCGGTTAAGCTTTGTCCGCCTGTGAAACAACAAGCATTTGACCAATCAAACAAACTTCCACAGTGAACTTACCCAGTTTTTGCAAAAGTTGCCCAGTATCTCAACATGGACCGGCTTAAGATTTCTTCAGCTTTGGTGTAATTCACTCTTCTTTCTAGGGGTAATCCAAACACAAACTCGATCTCATAACCGTGCATTACTCCCATCCACTCTGGCCAAGGGAGCTTTGAGGATCGATGTTCAAAGAAATAAAAAAATGCATTGTGTCCTAGTTGTGCAAATTTTTTGGTGAATTTCATTGCAGGACATATTATGTTGTAGTCACCAATGATATCATCCATGGCATCACGGTAATGTTCTGGCTTTTGCTCATTTTCCCAGTCTGTGTACTGAAAAATGATTGATTCTATTGCAAGTTGGCTTGCTTCTGGGAAGGACAGAGTTAAAGCTGCTTCAAATTCTGTTTTATTGATCAAGCCATCACTATCCTTGCTGAAGCCAGGGACTCCATATGCTAGAAATCCCGATCCTTCGTCTTTATTAACACCAACTAAGATCTGTGTCTTTTTGAAAAGGCCATTCTCAATCAATGCTTCTGGCATGTCCGAGAGAAAATCCCCATCCACACTTGGACAAAAATATACTTGTAAAAGGGAGTTGTATGTTAGAACAAAAATTTCATTCTCCAGTATATCCTTTGGGTCCTTGTCTTGGAGACAGAGAATTAGCTCTGTCTCATTGCTGGTGGGACACTGGAGTTGTTTCGCTAACGCCACCGTCCTGTTTCTGGCTTCAGATGCTGTTATTGCAGCCCACGGGGCATTTGCAGATCCACTTTGCATGATGGCTCTTGTGAATAAAGAATGGCTTTTTGGGGAAAGGATATGGTAGCTGACAGAAGCCGAGCCAGCGCTCTCTCCGAATATAGTCACACTTTTTGGATTGCCTCCAAATGCTGCTATGTTCTCCTGGACCCACTGAAGTGCCAATCTTTGATCAAATAAACCTGCATTTCCAGGAGCTGCCTGATTTCCTGGCAAAGCCAAAAATCCCAATGCACCAGTCCTGTAGTTCATGGAAACTACAATGACTCTTTCTACCCTGGCCAGAAACTTGCCATCATAGACCAGTAAGGAAGACGACCCAGTCTCAAAGCCACCCCCATATATCCATACCATGACAGTTGCGTTCTTGGGTTTGGGAGAGGGAACCCACAGGTTAAGGTATAAGCAGTCTTCACTTAGGTTAGTTTTTGGATTCCACATCTCTGAGCCAGGAAATCCCGGGTAAGTTGTATCTATCAGCTGGTAACAAGAGTTTGCATGTTTTGTGGCATCCCAAATATCTGACCACTGCTCACGAGGTTCTGGTTTTTGAAATCTCAGTCTACCAATGGGTGGCTGTCCATAAGGTATTCCAAGGAAGGCTGTCACAGTTCCCCCCAGTACCTGCAGGTTCATCCCTCTGACTCTGCCTTTCTTTGTTGTAACGATGTTATCTTCAGGCATTACCTTCCTGATGAACATGTACAGGAGAAGAAGCCACATAAGAAATCTGGTATAGATAGTTGTACCATTTGTCCAAATCATGATTCCTGAAACACAAGAGAAAAGAAATTAAAAATTAGTGTTGCAATATTTTAGTACGAGAGCAAAAATAGTTTAATCTAAAAGGGTGTAGGTCATTTTAAGGGCACTGAAAATAAGAAAATAGCACAAAGCTCAGCAGTCTGTAACCACAACTTCTTGTTAGTTAGTCATGTTGCAAAAAATGTGTTTAGTATTTGGTACAATACTTCAGAAAACCTCTGTCACTAAAAAAAACAGAAGTGAAGAAGCCTTACCAGGGAAGGTAAAGTCATATAAGCAGACTGACTACTTCAGTTAGCAGATGATTTAACCACTTGCATTTCCACTGACACGATGAACAGGACATTTTACGATGTGTGACAGAAAATGCCATGCTTGACTAGCCATTACTCTGTTAGAGGTTACTGTGGCAATTTGTATTCTCAAATCAATAATGAGCGATAACAAACATCACCAGGCACAGATTTTTCCACACATAAACACGCATCTCATGAACACTGAAAAGGTGCTCGAAGTCAAGCCTTAATCCTAGGGTTTCCAGGTCCACGTAAGTTTTGAACTCTCTGCTTGTGTCACAGTAGATGCCTGGACTGAAGGAAACCATCGAGATGGCCATTGCTGTAAACTCACAACCCTCAATGATTCCACTGTCCTGCTCGTAAGTCTTAAGATCTGAAGGTGTTTTAAGGGAAGTACACGAGGTACCTCTGAACTGATTGTCAGTCCATGAGCTCCTGTGGGTGAAGGCATGCAGAGGTACACCAGGACACAAAACATTTCTTTCAAGATCACTTTTCTCTAAAGCAACTTAACCAACTTTACAACCGTCACAGTCATGACAAGGAGTCATATTTCCACTACTTAGAATGAACATTAAAATGTTAAAAAAGACAAGGATATTTTATGTAGGTGGTGCCTAATATTTTAAGTCGTGGCTTGGTCTTTGTTTCCTGAGAACTTTCCAAAGTGGTAATTAATAGTATCTTAAAGCTAAGTGTATAGAAGCTGATTATGTACCACATTTAAGCATAGTAATAGTCCTATTTACCCCAACCTTTTCAAATTCTACAAAAAAACCCTAGTGTCTTTCTTTTGAAAATGAAAAGTCAGAAAAATACTATTTGCATAAACCCATTTCTATGGCTTACATATTTGAAAATGCTCAACAAAGCTTCCTTCTATTTTTTGCTTGTTGCCCTGTCGTACACAGTGTACTCTGTCCAGCCACTTTAAACAGGCCGTTCTTTGTTAATAAGAAGCACTTCTGTCCTTAAAAGGAATGAGGCTAATTTCTGTGAGAAGTACAGCTGTAGCCTAATGTGAGCTCCTCCTGCTCGTCTGTATGTTCTTGGACATCAACTGAGAAAATGCAGGTGGGGGGAAAGAAGATTTTGCGCAGAGGTTCCTAACTTTGAGATAGCATCGAAGGAGCAGGGGAAACCCTTCACAAACTCTATTTTTAACATTAATCTAAATAGGTAGAAAATAGATATATTTTAGACAACATAAACATTTAAGCTTTTGTCTTTTTATTAAAAAAAAAATAAGATAATATGGTGAATGGGGGCAATAGACTTCAGAGCTGGTCTCACACCCCACCTAGCCTTCATCTTGACTTAAGAGAAACCTGCAAAAGATCCGATGTGTGCTAAACTTGAGAGATGTGAGTAGTCAGTCTGGGTGACACACATGGCCCAGCAGCTCCCGAGGAGTTTGTGTAAGCAGAGGCTCATTCCAGCAGCCTGCAGCACCCGCACAGGAGGCTTACATCATTTAGCGGCATTTAGCTCACCTCTCCATGTGCCAGTCATGTTTTTTCCCATTCATTTCTGTAATAAAATCTCTTAAGAGCTGGATGAGAAAAGGTATGAAAAGATTAACTTAGGGCTAAACTCTTTCACCCTGTCTCACAGCCAACCAGGGCAACTGGGGTGGCTGTGCAAAATGTTAATAGTAGGGATCTAGTTGGGTATGTGTGTACCCAGTGTACAGCACTGTGAGATGGGAGAATAATTTCTATGTCTGTTGTTTCAATGACAATTTCTTTCTTCATGTATTCACTCCTAGCATGCCACCCAGGGCCGAACCACAACAACAGAACAGATGTAAGAACAGATATCAAGCATCATCATTATGATGAGGAGAAAACAACACTAAGACAAGCCACAGACATTGAAGTTCCTAAAGCTTTTCAGATCTGAAAGGTAATTAAAATTAATTACCCCCTGCACTTTCCTGTTAATTAAAAAGGAATGGGATGGGAGGAAATCAGTGTAACATTGCAAAACACAGACGTATAACTTTTTCCTCTAATAAGTTTTAGATAAGATTTTTAGAAAGAAAAAAAAAGCAGAGGTTTTTAGGAGCTCTGTAAAACATGTGATGGCTTTTTAACAAAAAAAGTTTGAAATAGATCAAGCTTGAAAACCAGAAATTTTGTACTACTGAATGTGAGGATTTGTCTATTGTCAAGTTACTCTGCTAATATTAAAAGTAGCAAGTCACAGAGGATTATTATTACACCTTGAATGTATGGCAAATATTACATTTAACAAGTTTTTTAATGCTGCATTAAAACAAACTTAACAACTTAAAGCACACTGAGCAAAACAAACATTCCTTGATTATTACTATGAGAATAAAAGGGTGAGAAGATTGCATTAGCTCATCCACCTTAACCAAGGAGAGATAGATCATATAATGTATTTGCATACTTTAAAAAGCTGCTTCTGTAGTAGTTTCCTCCAGCAAAAGTTAAACAGACTATACTTTTGTATTCTTATTCAGTGAGGGAACACAATTTATTTCAATGACTGTTTCCTCTCCTTGCAAATCTTCACCCAGCCAAAAAATTTGTACACAAGACTATATAATCACTATTTAAACAGAAAAGATGGTTGAATTAATAAGTGATTTCTAGATCAGCTTAATTTACTTAGCCCAGGATCCCTTGAATAATACCAAGGTCTGATACACACGCCTGCTTACTCGTTCCATTTGCAGAGCAGAGTCAGTTTTCCCAAGAGAGCAACAAATGGGCAGAGCGTACCATTTTAAAAGATCCCGATCCCCGTGCAAATCAAGCTGAACTGTAAATTATCCTGGCAGACAGAGACGTGTAAATAGAGAATCACTTACCCCACTCCTATTACAAGAACTAAAAAGTTTTTAAGAGTCAGGATCTTTGAATACTTCAGGGAAAATGCAGTACGCTGCTGCTGCTTTAAGCCCGTAAATTGGACAGTACTGACATTATAATCAACTGTTTCTGACACAAAGCTCGCGAGAGTTGGCAGCAGCAACTTGATCTGCAGGCAATCGTTCCTTGCTATCTGACATCTGCTCAAAGCCTAATGGTGTAGTTGTAGGAATGTTACAGACATTTTGGACAAAATTGGGCATGAGTTTCCACAGGATAGGGAAGCTGCAGTGATTTGTTCTTAGCACGGGGCAATAATTTAATAATCTGGAAAGATAAACTGAATTATAAATATAATAAAATCCTGCCTCTCTTTCCTTCATCTTGCTTAGAGCACTCATCTCCCCTGTACTTTTTTTCTGTTGTTCAGTTCAAGATTAGAAACATTTTAAGGTACTTCAAACTTTTCAGTGTAAGAGTAGTTATTTTGGGGTTTAAGCAACTGTGGCAGATAAAAAGGAGTGTCGTCTGCACAGACTTGTCAACAACTGGCCAGAATCAGGTGTATTGCTTGACTCACGGCCATCTGTAGGCATTGTCCTCTTGATGTTAGAGTTAAAAATGGCACCCAAATGGTGTCACATGCTGCCTTCTCTCTCTTCTTAGCCTTCAAATAGGAAATCACTCATGCTCCTTGGTACACCTGATACCTTCCTTTTGGCTGAACCTCTTAAGCATTTCTCCCACCAGAATTCAGCAATGAAGGTGCAGAGCCAGTCTAAACAGCAGGTCAGAGTTATCAGGGTTGCAGCACAGCCAGAGGCATGTTCCACAATGTAGGGAGGATATTGAAACTGCAGGATTTCAAGGTGCAAACGAAGGCAGAGTAGAGAACAGGAGTGGAGAAGATAAATAAATTACATATACCCCCCTTACAAATTGTCTTTTCAAACCCACATCCCTGAGCCACCGTGTGAAACCAGAACGCCACTCCTTGGTGCTGGAGCTGCTGGCCCCCAGCAACGTTCGCTTTCTTGCTCTGTTCTGCAAAAAAGCAACTTTTTCACAATTTAAGGTTTTCTTCTACCAAGAACCTTTGCTCCCCTGCTAAAGCTGAAGACAATTACTTTCCCTCTGTTTAATAATCAAACTACAGCTCCATTTCAATTACACAAAAGCAATATTTGGCAATGCATAGAACAGGAATAAAGCAGAAATAAAAAGTTAAGTATGAAGTTTATAGACCTTAACATCGAGACTACAAATGATTTTTAAAAGCTAGCATGTGAAATAGTGTATTAACAGAGAAAAGCTCAAGCAAGCATGGTCATTTAGTTTTTCCCAGTGATTTTACAGTCTACTTTTAGGATCAGACTTTCGATAGGTATATTGCAGGGATATGTCTATTGGAGAGAATATGTCCCTGTCTAATCTAAACCAGATTATAAATCCCTAAATTTCCAGCATGGAAGTGTCCAATATAGTTGTTAGCTGGAAATCCAAAATTCTTATCTGAGATTTTTATCTCACTAATGTAAATAGAAATATTTAATAACAAAAGAGGATTAATTCATCAACTCTAGTGGCAACTCTTGCTGATCAAAAACTTTCCACATGCGGTTTCCTGCAGGAAACACTCAGTTGTGCTCTTTAAATTAGGCAGTTTTCAATATTCTCAGACACATCTATTTGCTGACTTTAATGCCCCTTCAACCCATTTGGAAACATGGCAAGGTGACACACATTTGCTTCATTTCCATGACATTAGAAGAATAAATCATAAGCCCCAAATCTTGTTAGAGGCCGCTTTTAAATAAGGTATTTCTGATGCTTATGACAAACCATTGTATTCTCAACCCTTATCACTGCCTTGAGCAGTAGAGAAACAGCATGAGACTCAAACACTAGAAATGCTGTTTCTGGCTTCATCAATTTTCCAGCATTGGCTGTGTTGTCCTGCATCTGTTGTCACCGCTCCTTTCCTCTCTCTTCACCCCTCTCTGCTCCCTTTTGCAGTGCCCAAGGCACCCAAAACAGCCTCCTATGCTGAGGCAGACACAGTTACTCAATGCAAATTGTGGAGCATTTCTATGGACTGTGACAAGGTGACCCTGGGATGAGTGAATCAACTGTCTCAGACTGTGTCTCGGGCATCAGGAAACACTGAGTTCAGCCTTGGGGTTACCTGGATGTCTTCAGGGAAAGCGAGCATTAGGACAGGCTTTAGGCTGTTATATTTCTTGACTACAATACTTTTGTCTAATGTTAGACTATTATGCTCTACTTTTTAAGAAAACTAAGCCCTCTTCTATAATTTTTTCCCTTAATTAAAAAATTAACATATAAATTAAAGTTTCACAACTGTGCGCTGTGAGAGGAAACACTTATTTTAGTTATTACTTAGCCTACTAAAAATACCTGCACGAAAATTAGGGATTAAATACATTTAATGCCTTTAGTAATTCTGTGTAGTGGTCATTTTCTCAGTTTTCCTTTGGGAACTTGAAAGGAAAGGAGGTGCAAACCAGAAGATAGAACATCATTTATATATGTGTGTGTATATGTATGAGCTGGTATACATGTGTACATACACTGGTACTTTTAAATATCCCCATCCATCTCTCTACCTATCTATAATGTTGGGGGGTGAGGGGTGGAGGTGTTGAGGTTATGTAATTTTTTATTTAAAGCAAGGTTCTTAAAAATCACCACCAAAGATAATAGTCTTTTCATTATTTAATGTGTACATATGAAATAGATGTCACACTGACATAGGAATTTTGATACAAGAGATGTCCAAGTTTTAAGAAAGGAAAGCAAAGGGCAGCTCTAGGAAAGATTGACATTTGGTAGGCTAAGAATCTTAGAAAATTTAAACAGTATGTATTATAGAAATATCAAACATTTTCCTTATGATTTAGTTCATTATTAAACTACCCCTCAGGATCTTACCTAAGCATACTCAGATGTTTACAGCTATGAATATCCATTATTATTCACATTCTGGGTTATCTTCACTACTTACTTAATAGAGTTGAGAAATCTATGAAAAACAAAACTGTTTTGAAAAAGATGTATGTCAGATATTTCTAGTGGAAAACATGTGCCTCTCACAAAAGGTGTCTGAACTTTCAAGGTCAACTTGCACATAGAGTCCCATTCACTAGATTTGGTCCTGCCCTTCCAAGGCATCTACTCCCTCAAAAAGAGCTGCTGGGCTCCTGTCCGCATAACTGGGCTGAAAAGCTTTGTAAGTAATCACCTCAAAATAAAGGATATCACATATGAACTGTGTGCATGTGTTAGGAAGTATTTACATGCTAATATTAGTATAAATAAAGTATATAAAAGTAGGAAACATATTTGGGTTTTCAATTGGTCAAAGGAAACTCGAAAGGCAAATTATAGCTAAGCTATATGAAATGTCATTGTATGAAAATGTGGGGAGGTTTTGTTAAATCTCCAGCCTTGGTAAGTTCCCTCGGGAGGGCTCAGCCCTCTCTGATGCCCAGCTGAGTTTTCATGCTCAGCATCTGTGTGACCTTGGCTCGAACCTCTGATAAAACCGCTACGTTATGAGAAAAAGCTGTGAGGAAAGCAAGTAAACTCCAGCTGCACAGGACACGAAAGGTGAGATTGCAGACAGGGGTTAGATTGCCGAGATGGGGACGGTTAGCAGCTCAAGGACTCGGAGGGAAAAACACCTAAGCTGCAAGCTGTGAAATCTTCAGGTAAAATCCACAGCAGACAGGAGCTCAGCAGCAACAAGGACCTACTGATGCTCAGCTTTGGGGCTTGTGTTCACGTTAGCCTGCCATGCATATTAGCAAATAAATCATTGCCTTAGTTGATTAGACCCTGTTTGCATCTTTTCATGCTCAAATGCGGTGACCCCAAAAGGTTACAACTTTCTCCTCTTTCTGTATTTCTTTTGCAAATCTCATAATTGGTACAGCACACACCACCTGCGGATAGCCGTGAGTGTAAAACAGGGAGACCCTAAATAAACCTGGAGAGAGCTTAAGTGTTGCTGCAGGTGGTTATAGCTGGTGGTCAGAACAGTGTGAAATTCTGTTGTTACTCTGGTTATTCGAAGAAGCCTCACTCCAGAGGAACTTCCAGGACTAGCAGAATTTCCTAAAAACAGATCTGAAGGGTAATTTCATAATATTAGGAAAGATGTCTGAGATACATACCATGAAAATGGATACCAATTTATTAAGTGTACAGAAGACACTAACATTCATATAAGCCATTAAACATGATTATATTTGCCTCTTATTGGTTCAATTATGATTCGCTGTACCTTTTTCCTTATTACTCTAATTATAGGTTGGTATAATTTCCTCTTTATTAACACATTTATGGTCTGCAGTTTTATAAAATTCTTGGAGAAATCGAAGCCAATGAGAAAATATAGCCAGTTAAAAGATAACAGTATTATTAGTATTATTTTGTTTTCACTAACTCTTAATTCCTTATGGTGCTCTTACATAACCCAGTATTTTGTCTCATACAGTGATCAGATTTAATAAAGAACATAAAAAATGATTAATGTATACATGATATGTCTTGCATGACATTGTTACAGCCTGGTGTTTAGCTTGTAAGAAAACAGGCAAAATTGGAGTGTCAGGAATGATCTGAAATCTTGTGTGAGCATGATAAAGGTAATTAAATTAGAAGTTAGGTTTCACAGCTTTCTGCAGAAGATTAATTAATTGACAATCTAACTTTTCCATTTCTGTTTCCTTTTTCTTTCCTACTGATAGTAAAGCTCTAATTGTTTAGAATTATGTAAAGATATCTGAATAGCCAAGCTTGGTTGCTGGTACTCAGCCTCTGACAGCAATGTGAAGTTCACAACGATAATATGTCCTCTCATACCCAATCTCTGTGAATAAGTGAGGAGTTTGATGGATAAATGAGCTCATTTTAATCTGTTAAGTAGAATTTTTATCTGGAAGGTGGGAACCCTTCTGCCAATTCTCACACTTTGTTTTAGTCCTTCTCCACTAATATGATCCTCCATCTTTCCATCTCTGCATTCACAAGAGAGATATACATCTCTGACGGAAAATGTCACAGAGATGTTCAGGGGTTTAGCTTAAACCACGTTGGTTTTCATCCAGCAT